GCAGAGAAATAGAGATAATAAATAACTATGAACGAAAATGGAAGATAAAAACCAATGTCCAAAAACTCAAAATAATTCACATCGCAAAAACAAACCCCTACCCTATTATTGTCAACAACCAACAAATACCATATGCTGCCAACGGAAAAATATTAGGACTCAAGATAACCAGAAACGGAATAATCCCCCACATCAATGAAAGAATAGCTATGGCAAAATCACAACTTACAAAGCTCAGAAGATTCCGCCAATTAAACACCAACACGCAATTGCACCTATACAAAGCACTGATCAGACCACACTTAGAATACCCTCCGATACCTCTGAACACAATCGCAAGAACAAATCAACTTAAATTTCAAGCAGTGCAAAATATAGCCCTCAGAAGAGCGGCAAAACACCAACCACCATACACACAAACAGCACAAGACATACACACAGAACACGGCATAGACCCACTCAACACCAGAATACACACCCAAGCAAATGCAATATGGGAAAAAATCCAGCAAGAACAGGATCCCATACTAAACCAACTAATTGAGGAAAACAACAACACATCACACAGATGGTGGCCTAGAAGCAGGAAAAATGATAACGAAGAACCAGAGCCTCTATATACACAATAAAAAAGAACCAAAAGATGGGCACAACTCTCCAGTCACACAAGGACCTGGAGGGACCCCACAAATAAACAAAGACCTAAATAGTTCACAAACACCAACAATAAAAAACGAAAACGAAAAAGATGGGGATCATCCCTCCAGTGCCACAAGGACCTGGAGGGACCCCCCCCCCCCATCATAATATGCCCCAAGGAAACATCAAATAGAACAACTTAGCTTAGCTTGGCTGAGACCGGCCTTCCCTAACCGCATGAGTCCTCTAATGCAGCACTGTTGACGGAAGACAAAAAACCCCGTCTCCGCAAGGTGGATAGCCCACCTGCTGTTAACCACCTCCTCTATTTCCCACTTCTGAACTTTACCTTGTACTGTACCCTTCTTGCACCCTCAGAGCAAATGCTCTCTTCTCTCCGTATCACCGACCGACCTGTACGCTGATTGGCTGGTAGGCGCGCGGGGGCTCAGTTGTCCCTTGTAGGGGATGGAGTCCACTACAATATTATTACCTTGACGTCTTTTTTAGAATAAAAATGTCTTTCAGCTGTTACTATACTGTACGGTAGCATAAAGCTGGATTTAAATAAAGGTTCACATGCCAAATACAGATACACAGAACAATATTGAAACTAATACGAGGGTCGAGCTGGATATGATTTGCAATTTGAGCCAAATTTGGCTTAAATTTGGTAGTAGCAGCCTTCACAAGTTCTGCGGTGTGAATGTTGGTGAGCTTTGAACGGTAATTGTTTTCACAAAGACAAACAAATACAGTTCTGATTGTTTTGCAATAACAAAGAATTCCTCTTCCCAAAGAAGGTTAAATTTGAGATTTTCTTCTGCAATTTTTCGTTTCTTCGTTGCTGGAGGCAGCATGTTTCCTTTCAGAATACCTATAGTATATTACAAAACCTTTCCCTGTCAATTGACTAGTCACTCATATTTCAAAAAGTATTAATTGTAGCAATTAGACACAGTAATAGGCAAAAGCTAAATATGTTGTAGGTTATTCATTAAAGGTAAACAAAATGCAACTCAAAATTAGCCTAGCTTGTCAGCAAGCAACTTGTCCCTACACAGCTGTGATGTATGCACAAATCTCCTCGTGTTTTTATAAACATGTATATGACCATCGTAATTCCAGTGCAGTTATCTGAAATATCTATACTGTAGTAGTGGGCGTAGTCTTGTAGCTATCAGTTGATGCAGTTTTGAGGTAGCAACAGACGAGTTGCGATAACACGCGCTCTTTTCTTCTACATTACGACTAAATAAATCATTGTTATATAAACTACCATGTTCTACATATATTCACGATTAATTAATAATGTTATTATGTATAAGACACCAATAATTGGGGCTGTGCAAAGAAAACTAGGGAGCACTCAGCGTGGATCAAGCCCGGGATGACGTCATGGCTTATAGTGGAGCGGCAACTGTCAACATCCACCAGCAAGTCGCACGAATCCCAAGCTCGCCGTTTAGACTTCCGGCTGCATAGCCCGAATTTTGAACGTCGTTCAGCCGGCCGCATGTATAACAATTCCCGGCCACATGCGGCCCGAAAAATGAAGGTTGCAGACTCATGACAGACGACGTTCAGACGCCTCGCGCCTTGCACACTAAAGCCATCTGTTGATCCCTGTCTTTCTTATTATAGTCTTTGGTCACCACCTCCTGACGACCCAACATAATGGACTAAATTAACCCTTAAATAAACTTTCTCTCGCCATGATAATACGCCAACAACTACTCGGTATTATTAATGTTGTTACGAGTTGGGGATTTAGAATATAGTTAAAAGTCTACCCAGATCCCAACAGGCAACAACAATAAAAAAACAAAGACAATCTGACTATAAAAGGGTAGACAAAGGATGCGAGTTTTTGCTGTGTATAATAAAGTACCATAAATTCCTTAACAAAATATTCAGCTTTCTATAATTTACCCTTAACCAAACTTAACCTAAACATACGCAACATTGGCTTAACAGTATATACATATTTACACAACATACAACAATCTGAAGCAAGTGGAGGTGGGGAGGCAATATAAGATTACAAAATACTCAAGTGCAGTGCTGAGATGGCTGACGAGTAAGACTGAGTATTGAAGAAGACGGTAGGTAGTCACTGTGCTGTAGGTTTCCAGGATAGGTGATCCTAGTGTGGTCACTTCCCAGAGTGAACTGCCTCTCCTCGATCTGGAGCTGATGAGGAAGACTTGGAGGAGGTGACGCAACAACCAGGATATGGAGAAGGGAAACCCCGGAGTGGTAACTAAGACTAGTCATACTCGGGTTTCGTCCCTAGATGGCATTGCTCGTGGTGCTGGGCAGGTAGATCATGACAATAGATGGTGTGGTTAGTAGTGCTGGGTAGGTAGATCATGACAATTGATGGCGTGGTTCGTAACAATGTTACTGTAAATATCTCATATAATATTATTAATAAATGTCTTACCGTCGCCTCAGGGATATTGCCAGAACTGTCAGGTTGTCGTACACTTGCTCCGTCCTCCATCTTGGTTTCCTTTGCTTGGTGTCTGCTCCTGGCTCCTGCTGGTGGCATTAACGGTGTTCCATTGAATAACCAGATGAAAAACTCTCCCTTGTACCCCCGAGATGATGGTTTAGTAGCGCTTTTAACTCATAGACGGCGCTCACCTCCTTATTACCTTTTTACGTTGATAATATAAACCGCCATATAAAGAATAATTTATTACCATCTAAATAGAACTATAATAACATCTAATAGAATCTGTGACAATAAAATGAGTTTTTGGTGGGGCTGGAGGTGACCTGAACTCCCTCAGAAACTCATAAACGCGACACATTTTGTTTTGGATCACACGGATATTAAGCAGACCTACTTTTAATCGGTTCAAAGGAGGGTAGGGGGGGGGGCACTACACATTTTGGAGCAAGCAATGTATGTTTTTTTAATTACCTTTTTACCTTGGGAAGTCATCATTGGGTAATGTTTACCAGATGCAAAATGACTGACTGATTCAGGTGGTGTTGTAAGAGTGAAACAATTTGCACAGTGCAGTGAGGTCATATTTGAGCTTGTCCTGGACTCATGAATGCTTTTTACAATTATGTTTTTACTTACCTACTATTAGTATGTTGTGTCCTTGTACTAAAATACATTCGGGTAAAATAATATCAAGCAACTGACGTGGCTGGCAGCATGATCTGTTAAATCAGGGTGATAAGAATGTGACTTGACTGTATTTATGATTAAACTAATACCTTTTCAGACACTACTGTGACACTGGAGTCAGAACACCTGGCCAGAGAATCTTGTTCAAACCAGCTAGGGTTGGTGAGTGATCCCCAGATCACTGCCTGTAGGAGGGTGCCAGGGCTTGTAGGAGGGTGTCAGTGCCTGTGGGAGGGTCTTAGTGCCTGTGGGAGGGTGTCGGTGCCTGTGGGAGGGAGGGTCTTGTGGGAGTGCTGTGGTCTTAGTGGGAGGGTCTTAGTGCCTGTGGGAGGGTCTTAGTGCCTCAGGGAGGTCTTAGTGCCTCAGGGGAGGGTCTTAGTGCCTGTGGGAGCCTGTGGGAGGGTCTCAGTGCCTGTGGGAGGGTGTCAAGACCTGTGGGGGGTCTTAGTGCCTGGGAGGTCTTAGTGCCTGTGGGGAGGGTATCAGTGCCTGTGGGGGTGTCAGGATCTGTGGGAGGGTCTTGGGAGGGTCTTGGTGCCTGTGGGAGGTATCAGTGTATCCAGTGCCTGTGGGGAGGGTATCAGTGCCTGTGGGGAGGGTGTCAGGACCTGTGGGAGGGTCTTAGTGCCTGTAGGGAGGGTCTTAGTGCCTGTGGGAGGGTCTTAGTGCCTTAGTGCCTGAGGGAGGTCTTGGAGTGCCTGAGGGGGGGTCTTAGTGCCTGTGGAGGGTCTTAGTGCCTGAGGAGGTCTTAATGCCTGTGGGAGGTCTTGGTGCCTGTGGGATGATCTTAGTACCCTTGTTGGAGGGTCTTAGTGCCTGTGGGAGGTCTTAGTGCCTGTGGGAGGGTCTTAGTGCTGTGGGAGGGTGCCTGTGGGGAGGGTCTTGGTGCCTCTGGGAAGGTCTCAGTGCCTGTGGGAGGGTCTTAGTGCTTGTGGGAAGTGCTGGGAGGTTTAGTGCCTGTGGGAGGTGGGAGGGTCTCATTGCCTGTGGGAGGATCTTAGTGGGACTGTGGGAGGGTCTCAGTGCCTGTGAGAGGGTGTCAGTGCTTGTGGAAGGTCACAGTGGCAGATTGAGAGACCTGTGGGGTCCCTGTATCTCTGGGTTCAAAGGTCAGGTGAGGTGACAGGACTTCGTGGGAATAAGATGATCCTTACTTACGTTCCCTGGAGAAAGCTTCCGCACACACACAAGGTTGATGATAAAAACAAAATTATAAAATATATGTATAAATTTATTGAAGAGATAATAGCTACAAAACAGATTGTTAACCCTTACACAATTGTTTAACCATCTGTACAAGCCTAACAGTTCTCGAAGCCCCTGCCCAGTGTGGGGACATATCATCATTATTATCATCATCATCATCATCATCATCATCATCATCTACACCTAAAATAAGTTATACACAGACAAGCACTGGAGAAGAGAACATAAGTCCAAGAAATATCATACACAATCCTAATTCAAGCGAAATAATATCAGACTCAAATCTGACTCATTATACATTTGTAAAAGTACAATCCAAATCGTTCGAGCAGATCCAAAACACAACATAATTGTCTGAACAAAACGGTTTTGATTAATGGGTGTTTAATCTTCCTTCCGCAGATGCAGATCTTATGGCAACATTGGATTTTTGGCAGCAAACAATAATAAAAAGTTACAATAAATGTCCATCTTCTTGAGTTTTCTTCACATTTCTGCTACCAGGACAGTGTTCAGTAGTCACTATAATATACATGACCGGATTCATTATTAAATTCATTACAGTATTTAAAATATTTATATCCTACACGATCATCACTTGTTTAATTTACACTAGTCATCCTTACTATGTCAATAATCACTGGAGGATGTCAACAAAAAAAATTCACAACTCGGTGATCCGTGAAAGATGATGAGGAGGCCACGACCTCTCATAAAGACGACCTGCACACATATATAGTGATGAATTAAAACTGAGCATTAAAACGTTTGTGTGGGTTGTGTGCAAGTGTGGACCTTCACCATCTTCCACAGACCCAACGATCCTATGGGGGGGGGGGTGTTGGCTACGGGGTAGAAGATGGGGGAGTGGGGTGGGGTAGAGAGGGTGGGGTGGGGTAGAGAGGGTGGGGTGGGTAGAGGGGGTTCAGTGATCAGCTACCTTTACATGCAGTGCTCACAACGTAGGTGGATCCAACTTTGTTAGATCCAATAATTCCTGACAAAATTCCTATTCGAATTCTAGGGATGAGTGGGAGTGAGTATTCCAAGAGAGGAACTCCGGACCTTTGTGAAGTCGACGATGCATAAAGTACATATCACAATATGAATAAATAGTTGCATTCAGAAGTTAACAACAGGAAAGGCCACAGGTTATCACAATAAGAGGTTCTAGAATTTGGACGGGCATTCGTTAATTTAAAAAGCTCATACAAAGTTTTCAGATGTGTGTCCAATTCAGTGGTAATGTTTGAAAACAGTTAACAAAAAAATCCAAGGAGACATGATCCCATGTGTTGACTTTAAGCATCCAACAGCAGGAGTGATAACAGTGCTGGCTACAACCCGTCACTTCCCAACCCTCGTTAGTGGTCACATGGGCAAGCGAGCGTGGCGGCTAGCGTCTTCCGGACCAAGAGTTGGGGCGGCAACAAACTAACAGGGATTAGTACTATTTACGGCGACAGTTGCTGTCAGAGAGAGGAGAGACGTACAACCGTGTGGTGAGGTCGTGACAGGGCCAATAGTGGTATACACAAAATCCTGTCAAAGCTTCTCTTTACACCAGCAGGCCCACCAGTTGGGCACTACTGTCAAGTCCATGTAGGTTCCAGCAAGAGGAAATATGCATCTGCTTATGCGATACCTGCCTCACAACTGCTGTTGCTGCTATAAGCAAGCCAAGCCATGCCTCAGGTGAGCAAAAGGCAGGCCAGCAGCCATACGACCAGCTGCTCTGCTGCTGCTGTTGCTTCTGCCACGGGTGAGCTGCTCCAGGCATCAGATTCCTCCTCGAGATACGTACGGCCCGGCCGGCGGTCGGGGGCGCGAGGCCCTCCACTGAGATTGCCCTCCTGGCGTCATGCCGCGTTCAGCACCAGTCAGCCATGTAGTTAAAGTCCTTGAAGAGAGTCTGGTCAGACTCGTTAAGATGGCGTGGGTCTTTTGGCGGCGTCAGGGCAGGTTTTTCAAGCGTGAATTCTTCATCAAAATTACTAACGTCCTCGGGGGATGTCTGCAAAGATAAGAAAAGATCATAACATAAAGAGGAAACAGAGACATGTGAGGAGTTACACAATTAAATCTTTTTATGGTATAATTTATACTTGTAACAGTTATCTTAGGGAATTTAATCTGAAGAGCACTTACAAAAATATTATCAGTTAAGTTTTATCAACTGAACCAACACAAAAAAATCCTTGACATCAATTCAAACTCCACATTTCAGCTAACACTTCACAATGACAATTTAAGTTGGGTTTATCCTCATCGGAAGTGTCATATACGTAGGTTAGTTTTGAAGGAGCATCACTCACCACGGTGGGCACAAAAGGAGGCTTGACCTTGCGTTGTAATAGGTCGTCCCAGCCGACGCTACGGAAGAACTGCTGCTTCTTGACGTCTTCGGCGTCCTTCTCGCTGGCTCCCAAACGTCTGTCTGGGTGCTTCCGGAGAAGCTTCCGCATGATGGCCACGGCCTCGATGGAGAGAAACCGTGGGTATCTCACTTCATCGTTAACAATGCTATCAAATACTTCCTCTTCATCATCACCAGGGAAGGGCGACTGTAAGAAAAATAATATTAATTAATTATTACTACATCAAAGTTTGTTGGAAAACAACCATTTTACCCATATTGCCTTAACCCCGTACAAAAGTGGAATTAGTTTCTTATAATTTCACTTGTTATGATAGGCTTCAGTAAATACTATGTGGTTAAGGAGGATATTACACCTGTAGAACTTAAGAGAGAGACAGTGTGATGACTCACCTCCCCAACGAGCATCTCGAATATCAAGACGCCGAGGCCCCACCAGTCGACGGCTCTGGTGTAGGAGGTCTCCGTCAGCACCTCTGGGGCCAGGAACTCCGGGGTGCCACAGAAGGTGCCGGTACGGTCCCCATAACCCATGCCCTCCTTACACAGCCCAAAGTCTGCGATCTTGACGTAACCTTCCGTGTCCAACAGTAGGTTGTCCAGCTTGAGGTCACGGTAGATTATCTTGTTGTCGTGGAGGTACTGGAGGCCGAGAACAACACACGCGGCGTAGAAGACGGCGCGAGGCTCGTCGAACACGTCGGCGTGTATGTGCATCATCAGGTCGCCACCCGCCGCATATTCCATCACGAAACATACATGGCTCTGAAACACAAACACAATATAAACAAACAATAACTAGTGTTCCCGATACTGTTTGTGTGTGGCGTCAGACGTTTGTTTCTAGTACTTAAAGGTAATTAATTATTGTAAATATATTAATTTTAAACCTTGTAAAGTTCGATTATGTTTGTTTGTTTACTATTATTTGTGACAGAAACTGTGAGCAACAAGATAGCCACACACCTCCGTCTGGTAACAAGCGAAGAGGTTGACGAGGAAGGGATGTCTCACGGAGTTGGCCACCTCGAAGATTCGTTTTTCCGCCAAAAGACTCTCCACTTCGTCTCTGGCGATGATGTCCCCCTTTTTGAGAGCTTTGATGGCGAAGTACTCGCCCGTGTTCTTGTACTGACCCAATATGACCTTACCGAAGTGTCCTCGCCCCAGTACGGAGATGAGGCGGAACTGTTCCATCCCCATAGACCCATACTGAGAGTTACGGTAAGTGTCGTACGCGGAGTCACGGTCACGGTCGAACCGCGACAGAGGCAACTTCCGTGTGCGGACCTCCTCCACATCACGTCCGCCAACCTGTAATGACAAAAATATTTATTATTTTGTTGGTTAAACTTCCATGGAACCTTTAGTCTTTGTTCATTATGAAAAAAAATATATATATCACAAACTGAAAGAATCAGCAAAGTGAAGCACAAAGCAAGTGAGCAGGAAGGCAGTAACTTAGTGTTAATAGTTTGAGAGAAATATCTTACTTGTATGCATCTGATAACTGGTGATCTGAGAACTATAAGACTACAAGCTAAGGTAATGTCAAACCATGCCAGAGAACCAAGATCAGTTTATTGAGTATTATAACGGGTCACCCACTCATCATGTTTGAACGTGTAACACTACAGTAACTGGCTGTCTGTCTCAAACTAAAGCACAAGAATAAACTGGAAATAAGATGAAAAATACCCTGAGACTGCTTTATATAGATACGTTCACTTATTACTGGACAAAACTGAGGTACAGAATAGTTTGTAATAGTCCTGTACCATAATCTTGTCCCTTGTGTTCCGTGAGAGTATCTAGTGAGCCTCAGGTGTAATGTTCATGCTAATTTTTTAGTTATTTTTAGTGTTTTAGCTGAAGTCAAGCAGTTAGATGCATTTTTACATGTTCAGTTAGCAGGAACATTGACCATAGGAACCTTTGAGAAGGAGGACCCAGTGTTACACGAGTTGAGTCTGCCTGGTGGCAGGGAGGGAGCATGAAGAGTAGTTGCATTAGTGGTAGTGTGGAGTTAGTACTGGCTGTGTGGTGTTAGTGTGTGAGGGAGGAGGGGCACACACAGGTTAAGAGTAAACTGGAGGTGCGGGCAGAGGGCATGGTAGTGTACCTGGTCTTCTGGCAGGTGGACATGATAGGAGGGCGGGGAGGACGAGCTGGGGTGAGGGCTACCCTCGGCCGCCAGGTCCTCCACCTCCTCCTCCTCTACCTCCTCGATACTGACCTGGCCCTCGACAGGGGCCGCGGGGCCGCCCACGCCGCGCTCAATCACCTCCCCCTCGTGCAGGAAGTTGAACTCGTTCAGCGCATTCTGAACACCAAGAACATTACAGTCAGAAGAAGGAGAAAATATACACTACTTGTACCTAGAGACTTGGACCACTACTGTACAATCAACATATACAGTGCATTAATAAACAACTGATATAGAACATGGTGACAATAATGAGTGCAGTATTGAGAAATATCGTGATCGATGCTATAATACTGTACGTGCTGACATGCAGTAATATTATCCTGATAGATATGGGACGGCTGTGTACATTGTTCTGTCCCCAGTGATACCACTTGGCTATCTCGTCTGAGTGACCCCGAGCCTGAGTGACAAACACCCACCACAAGCGCCTCCTTTACCTGAAGAAGGTTCTGCCACGTCTCCGGCTTGAGCACCGTCTTGAGGAGATGCACCAGCGCCCGGAGGTTAATCTTGAGGGTAGATACACCTTTAATATCCAGTACAGCCTTGATGAGTGACAGTACACTCTCCTCCTCCACTCCTCCTTGTCTCACTCTTCCCTTAAGCGTTACCATGTTGCCGACACTACTAGTAATGTTCACCTCCTCTCCCACCGTCACAGTACGTGGGATGATTACTCACTACAAAACTACCAAAACAGAGCGTGTATATGTCACGCTGTCAACTGTGCGACTAACTGACTAAGATGGCTGACCTGGGGTTTTATATAGTGAGGGGGCGGGTGAGGGAGGGGGATGGGGCTATCGTCTCCCTGATAACTCTGGTGATGACGCCCCCTGCTCCTCCTCCTCCATCTCGACCTCACCATTACATATAATTACTCTACTATCACCTCTAATTGGCGTTATCTAATTCTTTAACCTTACTAACGCTCACGTAGGCTTTTGTACGTCGTAGTTTGAAAGTCCAGGAAATTTTCGTAGTTAATTTCTTACCTGACCGGACACACACACACGCCTATATCACCATAAATTTCTTAACTTCGTCTCCGTGATAATCGTATCCAACTCCCATTAATTATCTATATAGGTTAAAACTGGTCTTTGCTTCCACAGATCCTTGGGGTGGATGGAAGCACGACACGACACACCCTGTAGGAGTGGGTGACGGAGGAAGCCACAGTTATCAGTCCAGTTACCCCAAACATACACTCACACGTCCTTACGCAATTTAACAGGAACTGAGACCTTGTATGACATAATGTAAATAATCTATTGAGAGTTTTATCACAGCTTAAAAGATTAACCTCTTGAACTAATGCTTGTTGTGCAGTGACCGTGTTTATCAATATACTGTATACTAGTTCTGCTATTACTTCAACTATTACTACTATCACTAGCTTACTAGTACTACCACTACTACTACTACTACTACTTCTACTACGACTACTACTACTGCTATTACTCCTACTACAACTAACAGAAATAAATAAAACATAACATCATTCCCATTACTAGGAATTAACCTCTCATAAAACCCAAAACCATATTAAGGATACACACACACCACAGTTAAGTCCTAGTTTGAAACGTATCAGATCAGGGCATCACAAGATATCGATATGTTCATTTAAAAACACAAAACAAAATGTCCACAGAAATCAGTGCTCACGTCTACGATTAATGATAAAGTTATAAGGACATTTTTCCCAGCCCCGTGATAAAGTACGGTTCAACGTGCGTGATCCAAGGTGAAAAGAGGGTAGAAAACAAATCGCTATTCCTCCCACATAAGAAGATTTTCCGGCGCAAGAGATGACAGCACGATTACTTTTTTGGGGTCTACATATCCAAAACGATTATATATATTTTTTTCATTTAATTTACAACACGAACATTTTTTTTTGGTCTACATTTACAAAAGACGATTACTATTTGCAGTACATCAGACCTTCCACCACCCCCACCTCTCCACACCCCACCTCTACACTCCACCTCTACCTTTCATGACCCACCCCACCCACTCATATCAACAATAATCCCATGAACTTTGGTCAATAAAAGGTGAAGCCGTGACTAAAAAGATAAACACAGATATAAACACGTGTGAAGGTTGAAGAGTGGTCTCTCTCTCTCTCTCTTTGTCACCTATTTTGCCTAGGGGTAGAGGGAGAGAGGTGGGGAGGGACAGGGGGAGGGAGGAGGGGTGGTAGGGGAGGGAGAAAGGGGGTGTAGGGAGGGAGGGAGGGGTAGGGGAGGGAGGGAGGGGTAGGGGAGGGAGGGAGGGTGGGAGGGGAAGGGGAGGAGGTGGGGAGGAAGGAGGAACAGTCACGTTTATATTCACAAGCACACACGTGATAGGCCCACACATACTGCCCCAGGTGTGTGTGTGTGTGTGTGTGTGTGTGTGTGTGTGTGTGTTAGGGTAGGGTAGGTTATGTTAGGGTAGGTAAAGGTAGGTTAGGGTTAGGTAGGCTAGGTAGGTTACGTTAGGTAGGCTAGGTAGGTAGGTTAGGGGGGGTAGGGAGGCAAGGTAGGGGTACGTTAGGGAGGGTAAAGGTAGGTTAGGTTAGGGTAGGCTAGGTAGGTTATGTTGGGGTAGGTAAAGGTAGGTTAGTTAGGTAGGCTAGGGTAGGTTAGGGGTAGGGAAGGCTAGGGGTAGGGTAGGGTAGGGTAGGGGCTAGGGTAGGTTACGTTAGGGTAGGTGTGGTGAGGTTAGGGTAGGTGGTATGTGTTAGGTTAGGTAGGCTAGGTAGTTAGGGTAGGGGGAAGGGCTAGGGTAGGATAGGGAAGCTAGGGTAGGGGTAGGCTAGGTAGGCTAGGTAGGTTACGTTAGGTTACGTTAGGGAGGGTTAGGGTAGGGTACGTTAGGTTAGGGTTAGGGTAGGTTAGGTGAAGTAGGGGTTAGGTAGGTAGGTTAGGGTAGGTTAGGTAGATTAGGTTAAGGTAGGTTAGGTATAGGTTAGGGGTAGGTAGGTAGGTAGGTTAGGTTAGGTAGGTTAGGTTAGGTTAGGTAGGTTGCTAGGTTAGGTTAGGTTAGGGTACGTTAGGATGGTTAATCCTAGGTGAAAATAAAGGGTGTCTAATCTTCAGGCGATTCAATAATATTTATAAACTATGTATGTATGGGAAGTGTGGTGTGTGTGTGTTCCAAACACACACACACACACACACACACACACACACACACACACACACACACACACACACACACACACAAACACGCACGCACGCACGCCACGCCTGCACGCACGCACGCACGCACGCACGCACACACACACACACACACACACACACACACACACACACACTACATCCTTACCACCGAAGGGTCAAGACGTACCTGGCGCCCTCTCGGAGCAGCCAGGTCAACTGTTGAGATGGCCCATACCAACTCCCTCCCCTAAACCCTCCTCCTCCCCACCGGAATATCAACAAGTTCTCGCCAGAAGTTACAATTTCATTTAGGAAAGGAATGGAACCAGTGTTAAACAGAGGTGAACAGTGGTGAACAGTGCTTGTCAGTGAGAACAACTCAACAGCAACAGTCATACCCAGTTAACCTTCACACAGTGAGGTCCCAGGTACCCAGTGATAACGGCCCGTGAGACCCAACACAACCAGCGATGTGTTAATCCGTCTACGATAGGAAGGCCTGGGACCACACCTCACTCATATAACACCATCTGTGAGGAATTACTACACCACGTCAGGTCCCTCATAACACCATCTGTGAGGGAGTTACTACACCACGTGAGGCCCTCATAACACCATCTGTGAGGAATTACTACACCACGTGAGGCCCTCATAACACCATCTGTGAAGGAATTACTACACCACGTGAGGTCCTCATAACACCATCTGTGAGGAATTACTACACCACGTGGTCCTCATAACACCATCTGTGAGGGAATTACTACACCACGTCAGGTCCCTCATAACACCATCTGTGAGGGAACTACTACACCACGTGAGGGTCCTGCTCCAACATCTGGGAGGGAGTATTACACTACGTGTTTGCTGTTCAACACCTACAATAATCTGTTTGTTCACTGTATGTTCCTTTACCTTTCTAATGAAGGCTTTTGTTAAACCACAATGTATGTATAAGTCATTTATGTCCAATGTATATTTTCAGCTTTCGGGCTGCAGAACTTGTTTAATAAACCGTCAATTATTATTATTATCACACACACACACACACACACACACACACACACACACACACACAGCCATCACCACGACCTCATCTGCAAATTTGGTAAGCTTCTACACATCCCCGACACCGGCTCCCTACTACCTGAGGATCCCTTGTCCGAAATTGCTGTTCGAACCACAACCGCATCCAGCCCATACGTGCACAAACGATCGCTATAAGAACAGCCCAGTCCCAACCATTGTAAAGATTATCAATCTTGTAATAAACCAGTGTATTCACTCCCGGTAAACACTACTCCTTACACTGTCACTATGTTGAAATGAACTGTAGTTTGAGCTTTTCCCCATCTAGTTATTATATGTCTTATTTGTGTTACTTATGTTACGTGTATTTTATTTGTAATTCGTAACCCATTCCCCAAATATGTAACTGTATATTTTCAGCCTTCTGGCTGCCAAGCTCTTTCAATAAACCGTTAATTATTATTATTATTACACACACACACACACACACACACACACACACACACACACACACACACGCACACAAACACACACACACACACACACACACCATAAACCTTACCTAACGAATTACGATTACGATCCAATCAATCGGAGGGCCTAAAAGGACTAGGGGCCCATTCGACACAGAACCTGGGACCTGATTATATCACTACAAAACAATGGGTCATACGAGGTGTTGTGGCAAATAAACCAATAAATAACAAAAAATCCCCAAAATACAAATTACTCCCAAAATAACAAAATTACTCCCCAAAATACAAAATTACTCCCAAAATAAATTACTCTAAAATTAAGTGCTCCCCAAAATACAAAATTACTCCCCAAAATACAAAATTATTCCCAAAATACAAAATTATCTAATCAAAGATTACTCTAAAATTAAAATTACTCCCAAAATACAAAATTACTCCCCCAAAATAATTACTCCCAAATATAAAATGCTCCCCAAAATACAAATACTCCCCAAAATACAAGTTCTCCCCAAAATACAATTCTCCCAAAATACAAATACTCCCCAAAATACAAAATTCTCCCCAAATAAAATTATCTGATGAAGTACTCTCCAAAATTAAGAAATTACTCCCCCAAAATTAAAAATTACTCCCAAAATACAAAATTACTCCCAAAATACAAAATTATCCCCAAAATTAAATTACTCTCCCCAAAATTGAAATTACTCTCCAAAAATACAAAATTACTCCCAAAATACAAAATGCTCCCCAAAATATCAAAATTACTCCCCAAAATACAAATTACTCCCCCAAAATTAAGAAGTACTCCCGAAAAAATAATTTATCCGCAAAAATTACAAAATTGCTCCCCAAATGACCTCTAAATATTTGATAAAGATTTTTTGGGGAGATTAGCGCTAGAACAAACACCAACTAGTTGGCGATAACCTACTAAAACCTTGGTGGCTTCTGGCTCACCTGCCCTCCGTCACCTACACCTGGGCGCTCTCTCTCTCTCTCTCTCTCTCTCTCTCTCTCTCTCTCTCTCT